GGGGGGGGGCGGGGTCTTTTTGAGACAGGATCTCCCTGTAGCCCCAGCTGTCCTGGAACTCACTATGTAGACCAGAATGGCCTTGAACTCACAGAGATCCGCCTGCATCTGCCTCCTGAGTGCACACATATAATTTTTTAAATTAAAAAAAAAAAAAAAGTGGAGGGGCTGTAGAGATAGCTCAGCGGTTAAGAGCACTGGCTGCTCTTGTAGAGGACCAGGTTCCAATTCCCATCACCCACATGGCAGCTAACAACCATCTGTAACTTCAGTTTCAGGGGGATCTGATGCCCTCTTCTGACCACCACAAGCACTGCACAACACCAGTGCACTTACATACATGCTGGCAATACATTCATCCACATGATAAAGACACTCAGCACACACACTCTCCACCCCAGTCCAACACATACAGGTAAATAAATTTTCCTGTAAGAGTTAAGCATATGGCTCTGTGATTGATGCCTGTGGCTCCACTGAGCTGTATTAAGATTTTAGTTCGATGGCCTCATTTCTTTTCCAATACGTAGAGCTCTTTACTTACGGCTTTTGTTATTGGAGACCAAATCCAGGGCCTTGTGCATGATAGGCAAGCATGGTAGCACCAATTTAACCCCAGTTAAACTCTAGCTATATATAATTATAAATATACTTTTTGAAGATGGTCTGACTCTATAGATCATATGCCCTGGAACAATCCCCATGGTGGCAATCCTCCTGCCTCAGACTGCCAAATACAGGGATTATAAGGATGAGCCAACAAGCCCAGCTTCTAGTTTTGATGATTACAGTTGACAGCCTTTCCTCCCACACAGCATTCCTGACAACTAGGCTGCCTTCAAGCTCCTTCCTGACTTGGGGGTGCTGTGAGGACTCCCAGTATTCCAATGACTAGGCCCAAACCAGTCTCAGTTGATAGTAATTGACCTGTTTTCTCTTGTGGGGCAAGATTTGTCAGTCACTTTTCCTCTACAAAACACTGTATTAGTGTTAAGCCAGGCATAATAGAGCCCATATTATTCCAGTACTCAGAAGGCCAAGGCAGGAGGCTCACAAATTCAAGGCCAACTGGCCTAACAAGGTTGAGAACTTGTCTCAAAAAAGAAACTTCTACATACACTAAAGCTCAAAATTACATCATCCCTCATGATGTCAGGGCCATTGGAGGTTGGATCTGTTTATCCTTCAGACCTATCCATAACTGAAAATTTTGAGTGTGAAAGTCTCCAGTGACGTCTGGACACCATTACCATTAATATATCCTTACACTTACCTCTGGCTTAGGGTTGACTTATTTACATTTATCCTGGCCAAATGCAAACCTAATAAAGAAAACCTTTCCTTTTTTGAGACAGGGTCTGATTATGTAGCCATGGCTGGCCTTGAATTCAATGGAGAGCCACCTGCTTCTGCCTCCTAAATCTGGGATCAAAGGTGTACACCACCTGGACCTGCTGCTCCTTTTCTCCTAAAAATTTTATTCACTATTATTACTGCACACACGTGGAGTTCAGAGGACAGCTTTCTGGAGTTGGTTCACTCCTTCCACCTTTTATGTGGGTTCTAGAGATTGAATTCAGATCGTCAGGCTTGTGCAGCAAGCACTTTTACCTGTTGAGCCATCTTGCCCATCCTGAAAAATATATAACCTGAGCCAGTGGTAAAACTAATGCTTCCCTTCCGAGGGGTGTGGGGGGGATTTGTAATTTAATCTTCGGCTATTTGTTTAATGAGCTACCAAGTCTGTGAAATGCCATGATGTGATCAATTTACCTAGTGAGCGTTTCCTTGAGAAACAAGCTTCACCAAAAGATGAAATAGAAACAGTCTGAGGCCTGATAGCATCCCTTTGTGTGTGTGTGTGTGTGAATTTCATTTCGTATTCCTGGCAAGAGGATGTGAAACAAAGGCACCTGACTGAGTTGGTAACTGAGGACCAGGAATGTACTGCTGCTTTACAACCAAGTGGACATGTGACAAGGACTAGAGAAGACTAGCTGAGGTGCTGCGGGGGCTGTGTGTGAGGGTGGGAAAGTGCACTGCCCACACAGGACCTAATAAACAGACGTTCAGTTGTAGTACAAACAGGGTCTGTCAGCTGGTCTTTCCCAACTGTAGACTAATGTCAGTACTCTGAGCACATGCAGGATAAATGGTGTTTGACAGGTTAGGTGAATTAATGTTTTCTTGTAATTTATGAAAGGTTTCCTGGGACATAGTCCACTGTAATCAGGTAATACTGAAGATCTGCGGCATCTTGAAACATGCCTTTAAAGAGCAGGAAGCAACAGTGAGCTAGTTGTTACTCATGTGTGCTGTGAGGATGGAGAAGACAATGCACTTTGCTGTCCACTCGACAACAGGATTTAATGTAGCAATTCTGGAGGTAACAGAGGCACTGTGGGAACATGCTCATTTCCCAGTGATGATTCTCTTCCAACTCTACAGACATAACTCCGCTTTCTCCTCCATCACATGTTCAAACGGCTTTAACAGGGGATATACCTCCTCGTCTAAGAATCTGTGGACCTGCCAAAGATGAGAGCAAACACAAGACAAAAGAAAATCTTAACGCCTTCTTCAAACCAGCTGGCATCACTGAGCCCTAACATGCTAAAGCTTGCGTCCTCCACTGCCCATGGGCAATGTCTCCCTAGACACGGATGCTTCAATCCACACCCACAAAGATGTGTTCCCCAGACAGGCTCAACTGGGTTTCCTCAGTGGCCTCACCGTTTCTACCTGCCTGCCCATGCTGCAGTCATGGATTCTTCCACCATCCTCCCCAGCCTCTTTCAACAAGCTTCCAAGTTAATATCCCCTTTTCTTGTATTGACAACTGCCTGTTGCCTTGCCTCAAAGTCCCCATGTGGGTGCTGGGACCTGGAACTGGATCCTCTGGAAGAGCAGTCAGTTGCTCTTAAATGTTGAGCCATACACAGTCAAAAGCTCTATGACTGAGCTAAGCACCCAGCCAGGTAAAGATTTTAAAATTAACTCTCATTTCAAAGGCTGAGAGAAAACGACAAAGCATCTACTGGTTCCTACAGACTAAATGCTGCTCCAGGTACCTCAGTCCTCAGGTCACTGAGAGAGAATTCTGTCTTTGGGGAAAGAATTAGAGCAACACACAATAGCCCAATCCTGACATTTCTTTTCTTTTTAATATTTTCTTTATTATTATTTTATGTGTATGAGTGTATTGTCTGCATGTATGTGAGTGCACCCGTGTTGTGCAGTGCCTCGGAGGTCAGAAGAGGGCTTTGGATTCCCCTGGAACTGGAGTTAAGGACGGTTTGTAGCTGCCACGTGGGTGCTGGGAATCGAACCCGGGTCCTCTGCAAGAGCAGTCAGTGCTCTTAACCGCTGAGCCATCTCTCCAGCCCCGACATTTTTCAAAAAATATTTTATTATTTTAAATTTTATGTGTATTAGTGTATTGCCTGCATGTGCATAAAGTGTACCCATGTTGTACAATACCCACAGAAGTCAGAAGATGGTGTCAGATCCCCTGGAACTGGCATTAAGATAGTTGTTAGCTGCCTTGTGGGTACTGGGAACCAAACCTGGTCCTCTGCAAGAGCAGCCAGTGCTTCTAACCACCAGGCCATCTCTTCAGTCCCATTATTTCTCTTTTGTAGAAGGTATGAAGTGTCAAGATTGTGGGCATTGCATGACACAGGTGCATTCACACATGCAGGCAATACACTCATATACATAAGAGCACCCCAGGTCCTGCAGCCAGTGAAAGTGAGGCTTACCTGCTGGGGTGCTCGGCCGATGAAGGAAGAAGGGTCCAGCAAATCTCCCAGTTGCAAGTGGATGGGGCTGAAGTAAGCATCTGCGTGGATGCGCTCCATGAGGTCGTTCTCACCCCCTTCCTGCTTCACCACGGCAGCTGCCTGCTGGGAGAGTACTCTGATCTTCTCGTGACAGTCCTGGGGAGAGAGGTAGCGTTAGCTCACCACTAATGGGTTTTAAACCCACCAACATCCACTGGACATTTCACAACCAGACCCACTGGGCTGAGGTGGCTATTCTAGACTGACCCCACCACAACCTCAACCCTGACCACAGCTTAGGATGCCCGGGTGGCTACTCAAGGATCATTGGCTTTCTACGTGCTCTCTTGACTTCCAACAGAAATTCAGACTTAATCCCTTCACTCTTTCTACAAATGACTGATTCATTCTCAGCATACCTGCCGGTTGCCCCCAGCTTTAACCATTGCCATGATGATGTTTTCTGTGGCCATGAAAGGAAGTTCCTGTCGAATGCGCCGTTCAATCACCTGGAAGAAAGTAAAGGGCCAAGACAGACATCAAGGTTACAAAGCCACACACACAATGCCAACTAGGTCAGCACCACAGTGGACAGGGCTGCACATTATCACTGCTTACAGAGATGGCGAAGAGCTGCTTCATTCCAGTGCTGTGCTTTTAAACTTCCTTATACGTTCAGAGACCTGGTTGTTTTGTTTTTTGGACAGGGTCTCAATTGTAGCCCTGGCTGGCCTGGAACTCACAGAGATCTGCCTGCTTCTGCCTCCTGAGTGCTGGAATTAAAGGTACATGCCCCATATCTGACCCCCATCTTTTAAAAGGAAGTACTGGTTTTAGTAAACTTTCAGAAACAGCTTCACAGGAATAATTCTTTTTTAAAATTTTATTATTTTTATTTTATATATATGTGTGTATTGCCTGCATGTATGTGAGTGCATCCGTGTCATGCAATGCCTCAGAGGTCAGAAGAAGGCTTTGGATTCCCCTGGAAATGGAGTTAAGGACGCTTCGTAGCCGCCATGTGGGTGCTGGGATTCAAACCCAGGTCTTCTGCAAGAACAGTCATGTTCTTAACCGCTGAGCCATCTCTCCAGTCCCCACAGGAATATATATATATTTTTTTAGTATTTTATTATTTCTATTTTATGCATATGAGTGTATTGCCTGCATGTATGTGAGTGCATCCATGTCATGCAATGCCTCAGAGGTCAGAAGAAGGCTTTGGATTCCCCTGGAAATGGAGTTAAGGACGCTTCGTAGCCGCCATGTGGGTGCTGGGAATTGAACCTGGGTCTTCTGCAAGAGCAGCCAGTGCTCTTAACCACTGAGCTATCTCTCCAGCCCCAGGAATAATTTTTTAAAAAATTTTATGAGCTGGGCGTGGTGACGCACGCCTTTAATCCCAGCACTTGGGAGGCAAAGGCATCTCTGTGAGTCAAGGCCAGCCTGGTCTACACAGTGACTTCCAGGATAGCTGGGGCTACAGGGAGACCCTGTCTCAAAAAGACAAAAAAATTTATGTGTTTTACCTGCATGTATATAAGTGCATCCATGTTGTGTAATGCCTGTGGAAGCCAGAAGAGGGCACTGGAAACCAAACTTGGGTCCCCTGATGAGCAGCCAGTGCTCTTAACCACTGAGCCATCCCCCTCCAACCCCAGGAATAAATTCTTTCTTTTTTTTTTAATGTTTTATCTTATGTGTATGAGTGTATTGCCAGCATGTATGTAAGTGCACCTGTGTTGTGCAATGCCCAAAGAGGTCAGAAGAGGGTATCAGATCCCCTGGGAACTGGAGTTAGGGGCACCATATAGGTTCTAGGAACTGAACCTAGGTCTTATGCAAGAGCAGCCAGTGCTCTTAATCGCTGAGCCATCTCTCCAGACTCCCAGGAATAATTCTTGAAATAGCAAATCAGTTCAGTCTTATGGCCCTGTGTCAGGAGCTGAATATCCAATGGAGATGAGCTCATTGGTCTCAGGTATTTAAAACAAGGCCCACTGGTACCACCTCCTCTGCCTGGTTACCTAGCTGCAGGGGCATGCTGGTAGACAGTCAAGACAATTCAGTGTTTTTCCTCGCTCTGTGTGTATGCCTATGAAGTCCACAGTTCCCTACCACTGTATCATACTCAAGAATGAGGTCTGGACAGAACTCCCATAGCACACAGTACCCCAATACACTTCCTCCAGAGCAACTCCCTTCCCATACCCCAGCCCCTCCTTATTCTTGACTCTAGTGGAGGTCTCTTACTTTGGGGTACACCACCAATCCTTCAGAAATGTTCTGCAATGTATTTAATATAGTATCTGCAGTGAGAAATGCTTCAGCCAGACAGATCCGTCTACAAAACAAATGTGGGCAGTTAATCCCTTTACCAAATACCACCATCAGAGACACAGCAGGTGTGTCCCAAGAAGCTGCCCTCCCCACTTCTCATGCATATGCACTCTGGGCCATTTCCTTCAGTCTCATGACTCACTCACCCTAATGTCCCCATGAACCTCGGATCTTTACTTCTGGTCTACATCACTTGCCCAAGAACCAGACCTGTACATACCTAAGGCTCCATGTCAAACCCCAACTCAGTCAAGTTGCTCTCACTGCCTCCTGTTCACCAGGACCAATCTGCTCTCTCCCAGTGCATGCCAGGAGCATGCCAGTCACTGAGTTGTTTAAGTTCACTCAAGCTCACTGACACTGGGTGTTCTACCTGACTCTGTCCACACCACTGGGCCCATGTGGGCTTAGACTGCTAAACTGCTAGACTGGATCCACCCAGGACCTCAGCACAAATGATATTCCAAAACAATGCTGGGGTAGCAAGTAAACCAAATTAGGCCAAACCCTACCAAAAAAGTAGTCAGCCTTCTGTTATCTGAAAACTTGGCCTCCATGGATTTAATCAACCATGCATCAGTTGGGAAAAATAATTTGGTTCAGCACTGGACAGATTTTGGCAGTCATCTCTAAACAATACAGTAATTATTCAACCAATATTTACATAGTATTAGGTATGATGTGTAATTTAGATCATTTAAAGTATACAGGAGGATGAACAGGCTCAGTGTAAACACTATAGCACTTTATAAGAGGGGCTTGGGGATCCATAGATTCTGGTCTTCACAAGGTTCCTGGACAAGTTATTCTGATAAAATAATGTTGGGTCATGTATGGATCCCAGATGGCTGGCTCTATATCCCTCCTCCACTCAGGGTGTCCCGAGTCCACTCTCTTGTGCCACAGGCCAGAAATTCCAGCAGTTGAGATGCTGAAGCAAAACTGTGAGCTCTAGAGAAGCCTGTACTATAAAGCAGGACGCTGTCTCAAAAAAAAGTGAAGTTTGAGTATGGTGGCATATCAGTCATCCTTGGCCACATAATGAGATCAAAGCCAGCCTGGGTGACAAGAGACAAAGAAGGAAAAAAAGGGGAAGGACAAGAGAACACACCCCAGTACACTGACGAGTGTGGACCTGCTTTAAGGAGTAGAGACATGCGTGCTGGTTACTTCTGATCCATCCATGATAAATATATCGTGATGCTAAAATATATCGTGATGCTAGAGTAAAGTCTGAACTCCTTTTGGGGTCTGTAGCACTCTCCACTATGGAGGTCCTGCCTGTGGTCATGCCGTGCAGGGACTTCAGGCCCAGCTGCCAGGTGGCTCCCTCAGTTGACAGCCTGCCTTTGTGTTTTTATATGTGCTCCTCATTATCCTTTAAATGCTTATGCTGGTTCCTCTGAAACAGTCTCTAGCCCAGATAGATGCCAACTCCCTATGTAGAGGAGGATGACCTTCCCATCCTCCTGAGTGCTAGAATCACAGATGTGTGCCACCATGTCTAGTTTTATGCAGTGCTGGAGATCAAATCCAAGGCTTCATGCATATGAGGCAAGCACTGTACCACCTGACCCACATCTTAGCTCTTTCTTCCTAAGTTTTTTTTTGAGACAGGGTCTCTCTATAGTCCCAGCTGGCCTGGAACTATGTAGACCAGGCTGGCCTTGAACTCAGAGATCCACCTGCCTGAGTGCTGGGATTAAAGGTGTGTGCCACCATGCCTGGCTTCCTAAGTCTTAAGGCATCACCTCATTAGGAAGCTTTCCTGGATTCCTCCAAACGCCTGCCTCTTTGCACACTGCACATTTTGATCATAATATCTAGCACACTACTCCTTACATGTCTTTGCCTTACTGTCTGCTACACTCAAAGCCCCTTGGGGACAAGAAGGGCAGCAGACAGGCTCAAATGTCCTTTAGCTTCTAGACACTTCCTTCAGCCCTCTGCCCACTGTGCAGCATGTGATGCCATTTCACTGACCGGTTGGCACTATCATCCAATGTGCGCTCAAACCACTGCACAGAAGCAGTCTGTAGTGGGTCCATGACAAGGGCCATCAGGTGTCGGGCCAGGCTACAGCAACGTTCTGAGCGCATGGGGTTTCGCTTGTATGGCATCGCGCTCGAGCCTGTCCACATAAGAGGATGAGATGCAAAGGCAGAAAGGCTTCTGGGGATAGCAAGTGTACAAGCATCCCATAGGGCACACTCCAAAAACAGGTGCACATGCCTCTCTAGCAGTTCTGAGGTGCTCCCAGGTCTCCACATTACACTCACCAATCTGCTGTTTTTCAAAGGGTTCCTCCATCTCCTTCAGGTTTGCCAAGAGGCGTATGTCAGTGCAAATCTGTGGGAAGCAGAGCAGATGTCAACCCCCACACTCAGGTGCAAGAGAGCTTGGGTTAGGCTGATGCAGGTGGCAAGCTCCTAAGGTGTGTTGTTGCTGAATACAACAAGATCAGCCCCACCTGCCTAAGAGCTCCCATACAGCATCTACTCTGACTGCTCTGCTCCTGAAAAGCTGGGACGACAAACCGAGGAACATGGGTTGAGGAGTCGGGTCTGTGGTAGAGCATGTGCCTGGAAAACAGAAGGCCCTGGGTTCTATCAGCACCAGAACAATGACAAAAACAAAACATTTTTTTGGTCAAAAACTGCTTAAACCATCATGAAGCTGGGTGTGGTGATATGTAACCTTGTCGCCTGGATCACAAGTTTGAGGCCACTGTGGGTTACATAGCAAAACCCTGTTGAGAGAGAGAGAGAGAGAGAGAGAGAGAGAGAGAGAGAGAGACAGGGACACCGAATGATTGACCATAGGAAGAAAATAGGAAAGGGACGTGTGCATTAGAGAAAGACAGGTACAGGTCATCATGGGAAGATGGTAGGATTATCGCCCTTTCTTCCTTTAAGGTAGGGCCTCGTGTAGCACTGGCTATCATCTTGCCGTGCAGCCACAATGGTTCTCCCACCTGTCCTCATAAAGTGATGTGGTTTCAGGCGCACACCACCACACCTGGCCGAGGAATATCAATTTTATTTTTTAAAGCTTTTATTTTTATTTTATGTGTATACGTGTATTGCCTACATGTAGGTAAGTGCACCCATGTCGTGCAATGCCCATGGAGGACAGAAGAATCTGTCGATCCCTGGAACTGGAGTTACGGACAGTTAGCTGCCATGTGGGTGCTGGGATTTGAACCCGGGTCATCTGCAAGAACAACCAGTGTTCTTAACCTCTGAGCCATCTCTCCAGCCCCTATTTTTCAATTTTTATTTTATGTGTATGCATGTATGGCCTGCATGTAGGTAAGCACACCCATGTCATGCAATGCCCTTGGAGGACAGAAGAAGCTGTTGGATCCCTGGAACTGGAGTTACGGACAGTTGTAAGCTGTCATGTGGGTGCTAGGATTCAAACCCGGTCTTCTGCAAGAACAACCAGTGTTCTTAACTGCTGAGCCATCTCTCCAGCCCGGAATATCAATTGTAATACATTCTTCAACAAGACGGGCATGTTGTAGTTCTAGGAACAACTTTAAGGAGAATACAAAGTCTAGGTGTTCCCGGTAGATCCCCAAATGTTATGAGTGATGTACTGAGATGCAAGTAAGTGACACTTTGGTCTGTCTGTGGCATCCCAAACTCCAACCTTTCCCCATAAGCTGCTCCTCTCACCTTGTGCACTGATGCGCCTAAGCTAGCCAGCACAGATAGCACCGCAATGTCTACTTTCCGTGTATAGGTCTGTCCTGTGATGATGAAAGCCCTAGAAATAAATAAAAGATTTGTTAAAATATATCAGACTGTGACTGTCAAATAGACAAACCAAAAACCAATTCTAAGTGAATCTTGGTGTCCTGGTATAATCAGTTACATGGAGCCCAGGGGGCGGGTCTGACCTGCAACTTGCAACTGGCAGGAGGGACTGCAGTATGTTCGAGGCCAATCTGGGCTACCTAACAAATTCCCGGCACAGAGTAAGACTGTATCTCCAAAGCAAAACAAAAAGCAATATGCATAAGGTTACCAAAGTAACCGCAGTACACAGCTCCTCTTTCTTAGAGCTTTTTAAAACTTTAATATTCTGATTTTTTGAGGCATGGTCTCCCTGTAGCCCAGCAGGCCTGGAACTTGCTATGCAGATCAGGCTGGCCTTGATATCACAGAAATCCACCTGCCTCTGCCTCCCTAGTGCTGGGATTAAAGGTTTGTGACACTATGCCTTGCACACACCTTAAATCCCAACACTCAGGAGGCAGAGGAAGGGGGATCTCTGTGAAAAGGAGGCTAGTCTACATAGTGAGTTCCAGGCCAGTTGGGGATACAGGGAGACACTGTCTCTTTTTTTCAAAAAAAAGTTTATATGTATGATTTTTACTTGCATGTATGCACATGCATGCCTAGTGCCATGGAGACCAGAAGAGGGTGTTGGATCCCTCTTCTTGAATTACATATGATTGTTAGTTGCCATGTGGGTGCTGGGAACCAAACCTGGGTCCCCTGCAAGAGCAGACCTACTGAGCCATCTCGCCAGCCCCTTCTTATAGTATAAGAAACCAGAGTATTAAGAAAACACCAAGCCAGAGATGTAAGGAAGCAGGTAGAGAAGACAACAAGTATGGTCAAATCCAGAGACCTGCCATCAATGTAACAGGGAGCCTGCATTTCGTCACATGTACCTCTCAAATCCTGCCTTTTTGGTCACCATCTGGTCCAGCTGCTCCACCTCGGAGAGAGAAAAAACACACTGTGAGAGACATCCTGGTGTTCACTATGAGTACCGTGACTGGTCATCCTGCCCAGGTTCTGGCCCTACGCCCTTCCAGCCCATTCTGGGATCAATCGCTCCTACTTGACCCAGCTCCTTGTCTTGCAGGCTGACACTGCTGAGTTAATGAATCCCTCGGATAACTTTCAAAATACCTTTTGGTGATCTCCCTCGAAGAGCTGCAGGAAGCTGGCCTGAGTACCAGTGGTTCCCTTCACTCCCCGAAAACGTAGCTCATCACGGACTCGCTTTAAGCTCTGGAGATCCATGCAAAGATCTTGAATCCAAAGGCAGCAGCGCTTCCCAACTGTGGTCAGTTGAGCAGGCCTAAAGGGTAACACACAGAGATCCCAAACCAAGGCCTAACTTTACAAACACTATCTGCTTTTCAAAAGCTACAGTTGCTCTTTGGAGATGGAATAAAGAACTGGAGCACCTAGTAGTCAAAACAAGAGCTAAAAATTCTGAGAAAAGGACTAAGTAAAGCCCTGCCTCCACAGAACTAAAGGGCTAGCTTGGTAGGGTAATACCCACTTGTAATTCTAGCACTCAGGAGGCTGAGGCAGGAGGACTGCAGCTTTAGGGCCAGTCTGAGCTACAAGTGACTCTATCTAACAACAACGACGATAACAACAATCCATGGGCCAAAGAAATGGCTTAATGGGTTAAAGTGCTTACTGCCAAGCCTGACAACCTGAGTTTGATCCCTGGACTCACGTGGTAGGAGAACCCACTCAGGGAAACTGTTCTCTGATCTTCACCCATATGTTTGGCATGCACCTGCCTGGCCTCATATGCAATAAATGAAGTATATAAAAAGGGGGCTGGAGCAATGATGCAGCAGTTAAGAGCAGTTAAGGCTGCTCTTGCAGAGGGCCTGGGTTCACTTCCCAGCACCCACATGATGGCTAACAACCATCTGTAACTCCAGTTCCATGGGATCCAAGGCTCTCTTCTGGCCTCCCCACGCACATGGCATACTTATCATACACATAAAAGATTTTTTATTTATTTATTTTTTTTGGTCTTTTTTGAGACAGGGTCTCCCTGTAGCCCCAACTGTCCTGGAACTCATTATGTAGACCAAGCTGGCCTTGAACTCACAGAGATCTGCCTGCCTCTGCCTCTCGAGTGCTGGGATTAAAGGCATGTGCCACCACGCCTGGCCCAAAATAAAAGATTTTTAAACAGGGGCTGGAGAGATGGCACAGCTTACTGTTCTACCAGATTACTGGACTTTTGGATCCAGTACTCATATCAAGTGGCTTACAAATGCCTGTAACCCCAGCTCCAAGAAATCTGATGCCTCTTCTGCCTCTGTGGGCACCTGGGTGTGCGCACATGTGCACACATACACACACACACACACACACACACACACACACACACACACAAATAAAGGTGACAAACAGGGCTGGCAAAATGGCTGAGCTGGTAAAGGTACTTGTTGCAAGTCTGACAACCAGAGTTCGATCCCCCAGAGCCCACAAGGAAGTGGAAGGAGAGACCTGGCTGCACAAGCTGTCCTCTGGCACCCACACATATGCTGTGACACCAGTGCCCAGACCTATATCATATACACAGATGTAAAGAAAATAATGCATTAAGAAAAATATAAAACAGGACTTGAGAGATGGCTCAGTGGTTAGCAGCACTTGCTGATCTTACAGAGGACCCAACTCTTCTGGCCTCCGTGGGCATTCACGCATGTGGTATATTTACATACATGCAGGCAAAACACACACATTAAAAAAACAAACAAAACCAAAATTGTTGACATTTTTAAATGCTAAGAATATGAGGCCAAAGACACTAGAGCAGGTGTCTCTAGACTGGTGGTGAAGGACTGGCCTTTGTGAGAAGCCGAGATTCAACATAGAAAAAACTCTGAAACACATTTTACCAAGACTTCAATGAACTGCAAATGTGTTTCTAACCTGGAGCCTAAATCATTCTAATGACAGATTAACAGAAAGCAAGCAAGGGCAGTGAGCTTGGCAGTAAAGAGTGCTCCCCACATGGATGGTCTGTTTCTTATCATGAAGAGAAAGCTGCAGAGCCCAGAGTGGCAGTGCTCGCTCTAAAAAAAAAAAAGCTGCAAGTTTCCAAGCACTAGATATACAACTCACATCATCTACAGGAGGCACACCAGGAGATGTGGGACACCCCAAGTAAGTCTCACTAGTCTCTCTTGCTGACTCCTGCTAACAGATTCATCTGAGTGGACTTGTTCACAGCAGAACTATTCATAACAGCCACAACAACTCAAATGCTCACCAGCTGATGAAGAGGAAAACAGTTTATGAAATGGAATATTATTCAGTCATAAATAGAAATAATTGTGCACATGTGTTGTACCATGAATGCTGGAAACATTTTTTCATGAAAGAAGTCAGTCACAAAGGTCATATCCCATACATGATTTCATTGACATTAAGTTTGTGAAATAAATAAATAAATAAATAAATCTACAAAGAACAGATCTGTGCTTGCCAGGAGTGGGGGAAGGGGGTGACAGAGGTGATCACTAATGGGTGTGGGCTTAGTTCTGTGGATGATGGAGATAGTCTAAAATTAAAGTAGAAATGATCACACACCTGTAAATTCAGTAAAAATACTTTAAAAGGATGAATTTTTGTTTTGTTTTTTGACAGGGTCTTACTATGTAGCTCTGGCTAGCCTAGAACTTACACTACATAGACCAGGCTGGCCTCAAACTCACAGAGATCTGCCTGCCTCTGCCTCCTGAGTGCTAGGATTAAAGACATGTGCTACCATGCCCATCAGGATGACTTAAAAATTATTTATGGGGCTGGAGAGATGGCTCAGCGGTTAAGAACACTGGCTGTTCTTGCAGAAGACCTAGGTTCGAATACCAGCACCCACATGGCAGCTAACAACTGTCCGCAACTCCAGTTCCAGGGGATCCAACAGCCTCTTCTGTCCTCTGCGGACCCTGCACAACATGGGTGCACTTACCTACATGCAGGCAATACATGCATACACA